CGGCGGCGGCCACGGCGGCGTTCGGGAGCGGCGGAGCGGGCGGCGGGGCGGTGAGCGGCGCCAAGCCCGGCAAGAAGACGCGGGGCCGGGTGAAGATCAAGATGGAGTTCATCGACAACAAGCTGCGGCGCTACACCACCTTCAGCAAGAGGAAGACCGGCATCATGAAGAAGGTGCGGCCCCGGGGCACCGGGAGCGGCCCGGAAGCGCGGGGCGGGGGGCGGATGCGGGAAAGCGCGGGGCCGGGGGGGGGATCGGAGCGGGGCGCGGGGAGGAGGGGGCGCCCGCCCGCCGCAGCATCCCCCGCGGAGGGGTCCCCGCGCGGCCGTGACGCCCCGTGCCGCCCCGCAGGCCTACGAGCTGTCGACGCTGACGGGCACCCAGGTGCTGCTGCTGGTGGCCAGCGAGACGGGCCATGTGTACACCTTCGCCACCCGCAAGCTGCAGCCCATGATCACCAGCGAGACGGGCAAGGCGCTCATCCAGACGTGCCTCAACTCCCCCGACTCGCCGCCGCGGTCAGATCCCACCACCGACCAGCGCATGAGCGCCACGGGCTTCGAGGAGACCGACCTCACCTACCAGGTGTCCGAGTCTGACAGCAGCGGGGAGACCAAGGTGAGGCCCCGCTGGGGGCTGGGCTCCCTCCTGCGCCGCTCGGCCCCCGGCCGCCTCTGGGCGCCGTTATCTCTCCCCGGGCGTCTCCATGCGCTCGCACTCATTGATAAAAATTTGATTCTGCCTCCATGGCCTTATAAGGCCTGGTTTCCCTCGCCAGAGTCCCTGGCAGGGCCCCTCACATTCCTTATAAGCTGCAGCTGTCTCTTGCTTTGGTGCTGTTTTGGAAGGGGGCAGGGAGGACATGGGGAATGGAAACACTTGGCTGGACCGAGTGTTCCTGCTCTCTGCTTGGCGGCCCGCTGCTGGGAAGCCCCGGGGCAGGGCAGCTCCTCGAGGGGCTCCAGTGGTTGTGCGCACAGATGCTCAGAGATGTGCAGAGACCAAGGGCTGTGCTGCAGCTCCCTGGGTCCAGTTGGGTGCTGTGAGCTCTGTTGTACCCGTTCCAGTGGGATGAGCAGCAGCATTCCGCTCTTCCACCTAGCTTTGCTCTGTGTATGTATGCCAGCCTTGCCCTGTGGAGGCTACTCAGTGTGCAACAGAACCCAATGAGGGTGCTTGAGAACCCTTTGCTGTTGGTGTAACCCCAAAGACTGAGCACAAACCCAGCTTGGTGCCTTGGGGATCCTTGTGCGTGTTTGCATCCCACATCATCTCTGGTTGTGGTGCTACTGGTACTTGGGGAAGGGATTTCTGCTCTCCCTCTATGTATGCTGCTCAGCCCCATAAATACCACTGAGGGGGAAATATTTGCTAGGGATCCCAGAGGAACTGTTGATGGGATAAGGTGCTGTGGGATGGGTGCCCCCGAACCAGGGCTGGGCCCTGGAAGGCTTCCCACTGATGGGAACCCAGCTGCCCCAGGCTGGCGTGACTCCCTTGGGTGCCTGATGGGAGCTCTGCCAGCCCTTCCCAGCAGGCGTGGGGCAGGAAGGGCTGCGCGTGCCACTGACTTGTCCCTGGTGCAGGGCTTGTTCACACAGCGTCCTTTAAGGTTTCCGCTGGAAATGCTGCCAGGTGGCCCCAAAGGAAACGTGCTCTTGTGGAGTGGTCACTTTGCAGAGATCTGAACCTGCTTCTCTCTGGTGCCAGCCCAGCTTGGTGCCCTTTGGCTTAGGCTCCAGGCACAGCCCTGCTGATGCTCTGAGAGCTGCTCCCTGTACGGACAAGACCTGCAGGTGTTTGGCTGCAGCAGCAGCGTGAGGAGCCGTGCAGCCAGCAGCAGCTGCGAGGTCCTCCTGCCGTGCCGAGCTCCAGAGCCAGCCCTGGAGCGCAGCTGGGATGGCAGCAGGGTCAGGGGGATGCTGTGCTCTTAGGACAGCTCCAGCCTCCCAGCAGAGCTGTTGTGTGCTGATCTGGGCCATCCACCAGAGGACCCAGTGCCCTGTTTGGAGGGAGATCAGAGTTGGAATAGGAGCTTGGGGTGGAGGAAAGATGGGGCTTTTTGCCTCACCTGGAGTGCAGAGCAGGTAGTGGAGTGCAGAGTGGGATCCCTTCTGTGCAGCACCTGGGCCAGAATGTACAGGATTATCCTAAATCTGTGGTTCATTGGGTACGCTTGCTGAGAGTGGCTCATCGCTTGGCTCCTGCATGCAGACTGGGCTCAGTGGGGTGCTGGGGTGGCTCAGGGTGCCCAGGGGCTCAGGAGCATCCCAGACAGGTGGGAGGAGCGGGCGTCCAACCCAGTTCTCCGTGCTGTCACCGCAACCTAGGAGTGGCAAGTTGGAGATGGCAGGCTGGGGAGGACAGAGTTGGGTGTGTGTGGTTGGAGCCCCTTTGTTTTTCTGTTTGTACTATGGTTTGCCCTCATGTTTTAAGGGAGTCCTGGAGTGCTCTGTGTGCATCTCTCAGGCTGCCTTTCCCATGCCCCAGAGGATGTAGTGTGGAGATGTTACAGGCCCTTGGGCATGCAGAGCTGTGTGTGAGGATGAGGGAGCTGGGCTGTTCCAGCTGGAAGTGAGCCGACTGTGCTGTGGCTCACACAGCCAAGTGGGCTTCATGGCCCAGGTGGGAGTGTGCCTGTGGCTCCCACGTTGCGGGGGGCTGTGGCTGAGCTAATGGAAAGTGCCTGCGCTGGGCGCCGCGCCGTGATCACGTGCCTCTTCTAATTTGGACGTGGGGGGACCGCAGTGCCAAGGCAGAGGGGCTCTGCTCTCCTCCCTCGACGGGCCCTGGGGCAGGGCCGAGTGCCCAGGATTGGCTCCCCCCTGTCTAAAATGGGCTGCCTTCCCTTTTTTAGCTGTTCGGAGAGCTGTGAATTCCTGGCTGCTGGCAGCCTGACAAGCCGGGAACAAGGCGCAGCACGTGGGAGCGCTGGGCCCGCCGTGCTGCGGGAGGGCTGCGAGCGTGCCCGTCTTAACCCTTCCTTGGCAGCACGGGGGTACAGCCCGCAGAGCCTGAGCTGTCACCCCTTCTCATTCCCCAGGATGTGCTGAAACCGACCTTCACTGTCACCAACCTGCCAGGGACAACGTCCACCATCCAGACGGCACCTACCACCTCGTCCTCCATGCAGGTCAGCAGCGGCCCCTCGTTCCCCATCACGAATTACCTGGCGCCAGTGTCTGCCAGCATCAGCCCCAGTGCCGTCACCAGTGCCAACGGGACAGTGCTGAAGACTACTGGAGCCAGTGCAGTGACATCCGGGGGCCTCATGCAGATACCCACCGGCTTCACCCTCATGTCAGGTCAGTGCTGCTCGGTGCTGAGCGCCGTGTCCATCTGTCCGTCTCTGCACTCGAAACATGTTGAGAATGGGAGACCTGGCTGCAGGTGGAGGCAGGCAGTGGTTGCTGCTTTAGGATGATCGTGGCTGGGACGCTTTGCTTGAGCGGTGACAGTTCCTTTAGGGCCCTGCTGCTGGGAAGGGTGTGGTAGCAGGGAGCTGAGCAGGGGTACCCCAGGGCAGCACTGAGAAGCCTGGAGGGAGCAAAAAGAGCTGATGGTGATGAAGCCTTTTTTTTCTCCCTCCTTTTGGCAGGTGCTTCCCTGTCTCTGGGGTCCCCTGCCATTCCTCTCCCTCATTTACAGCCGCACTTGCTGGCTCTTTCCAGCTACATCAGGCACAGCACACGGTCTTCCACTTCCCTGCCAGAGCTGGAGGGCAGATCGTGTCGCTGACAGGTCAGCACTTGCTTCTGCTGCGTTCATTTTAGACTGGAGGGTGAACGGAGGCTCCTGCAGGGTCCCTGTCCTTGCTCAGGGAGCTGACCCCAGCTGGGAGCTAGGGGGAGTGGTGGAAGGAGGGAGACTGTGGTGCTAAGATACCCTATGGATGTGGTTTTGAGTGCTAGTGTTTGACTCTAAGCAACTGTCATGCTTAGATCTGTAGTTGGCTGCTGAGCCACGGTGCAGAAGATTGGTGATGAAAGAGGCAGAGGTGTTGCTGTGTGGGCATTGTCCTTGGCAGGAATCTCTTATTGTACCAACTGGAGGGCTCTCTGAGTGCTGTGCTAGGGTTGGGGTACCGTCTCCTTGGTACCAGCACTGAGGGCGAGACAGTATTCTTGTGTTGTGCTTGCTTGTTTCCATGCTGCTAAGTCTGATGGCCTCTTACAGCTCCTGCGGGCCCACGCAAGGGGACCATATTTCCCTTCTGGTCTGGAGGAGCTAAGAGAATAATCAGTGATTCTGTGTTTCTGGTGCACTGTGTAGGGAGATACCCAACCTGTGGCTTCTGGTGCAGTGTGTGGGGAAATGCCCGACCTGCGGTTTCTGTCTGGCATCACTTGCTGTTCCCTCTGGAGGCAAAACATGAGCCTGACTGGGGGCTTCGTGTTCTGCTCAGTGTCTGCATAGCCATGCTGAGAGCTGTGTGGTGAGCAGGCTGGTCCAGAGGCTGTGTGGCTGTGCCCGTGCAGCTCTGGGCTGCATGCTGGGGCAGCTGTGCTCTTGTTCCTGTGCAAGGCACTGCAGTGTCTTTGGGGTGGCTGTTCCTGAGTGCCCTGCGGAGAATGATGCTAGGCTCTGGAGGGTGAAGACCCTGCTGGAAGGTGGGCTCTTGCCGTTCTGGTTAACGCTGTGAGCCTGGCTTTGTGGGGCTGCTTGAGCAATGGGCTGTGCTGGGGCCCTCTCCTCCCAGCATCTTCTGTGCTGTGTCCTTGTGGAGCCAGGAATGGTAATGAAGGCCACTGACATTCCTGAACTATACCTAGATGTTGGACAGAAGCTGCTGTGGCATTTCCTTTTCCCTCCAGTGTCCTGCAGGCCACCTGACCCCTCCTTGGCCCTTGTGTGCCAGCAGTGTGATGGGCCATGTGTGGAGCTGTGCATGGCCAGAGAGGGATGAAGACTGACAGACTGAAGGCTCCCTTCTCTCCCCAGGTGGCACCATGGCTCAGCAAGTCCCTGTCCAGGCGATCCAGGTGCACCAGGCACCGCAGCAAACGTCTCCCTCCAGTGACAGCAGCACTGACCTTACTCAGACCTCTCCCAGTGGAACAGGTAATAGGGACTTTATGATAACTGTGTTCTCTCTTCCTTCCTAATCACTGTTGATACTGACTCACCCCTGCTCCTGGCCCAGCATCGTTCAGTCCAGCTATCCCAACCAAGCTGACAGTTCCCCAGATTTATTTATCCCTATTACCAGCTCCCATGCTGTGCTGCTTCTAGATAGGTGCTGCTGTGCAGAGTACCTCAGCAGATTTCAGAGCCTCTCTTGGTGCATTACTTGCTTTTCATAGAATCATTAAGGATGGAGGAGACCCTTAAGGTCTCCAAGTCCAACCATCAAGCCATCCCCACCATGCCTACCAACCAAGTCCCTCAGTGCCACAACCCCACAGCTCTGGGACACCTCCAGGGATGGTGAGCCCATCACTCCTTGGGCAGCTGTGGCACTGTCTCAGTGCTCTTTCAGAGAAGAAATGTTTACTAAGAAACAACCTGAACCTATCCTGGTGCAACTTCAGGTCATCACCTCTCATCCTTATCCTGCAACATGGAGCTGGGAGCATGTTGCCAGGCTCTCCCTAGTTCTCAGATGGTTTCTTATTGATCCAGCATTGCCCCTTGTACAAGGCATTAGTTTGCATGTTCTTGAGACTTTGTATGTACAGAGGCACCTTTTTTTGCTACCAAAAAAAAAAAAGTGCCTGGGTGCGGATTGAACCCAGTTCAACAGCTTAATCAGCTTCATCAGGAAACCTGTGACATGGTTTGAGTTCAGTCTTGGGATACTTGGCTATAAGGCTGCCTTGCCCTCAGTTCTCACTGATCAAAACCCTCTTGCTTGTTCCCTGTGTTTCTTGGGAGAACAATGTGGGTACCTCCACATGTCTGCTGCTTGCACGTGTGGGGGCTGAGGGAGCGTGGCTGAGCAGGTGTGCAAGCGTGGCAGGCTCCTGCAGTGTGGCTCACGTGTCGTTTGTCCTGCTGCCAGTGACCCTCCCAGCGACCATCATGACGTCGTCTGTGCCAACCACCGTGGGTGGCCACATGATGTACCCCAGCCCGCACGCGGTGATGTACGCGCCCACCTCTGGCCTTGCGGATGGTGGACTTGCAGTCCTCAATGCTTTCTCGCAGGCACCCTCAGCAATGCAGGTGTCCCACAGCCAGGTCCAGGATCAGAGTAAGTCTGGGTTGGTGCTTTTCTGGGGGGCTCTCATTTTTGCATGTGTTTTTTTGCTACATATTGATCCCTCAGGGTTTTCTTTTAAGCAGTCATATCTGTCAAAAAGACCCAGCAAGAGCCTGTGCTTTTTAGAACCAGCTCCTCTCCTGCGTAAAGGATTCCTTGAGCCATTTGCTGGGGGAGAGGATGAAAGTTGCTGGTGTGGGGAGCGTGGAAATGGGGCAGGCAGTGGCAGGTGGGGGGAGCCAGGAAGACTGGAGAAGAAGCGTAGGTGCATAAGGGGCCAAAACAGTATGAAGGCACGCATGCAGGATGTGGATTGAAGGCTTATGCTGGGCTCCCAGCATCTGGAAAACGATGTCATTTGTGTCATTCCCTCTGTGGCAGGTGGCGTCCCCCAGGTATTCTTGACAGCCCCATCAGGCACCGTTCAGATCCCAGTCTCAGCTGTCCAGCTTCACCAGGTAAGTGCAGAGCAGTGCCTGCAGATGTGGTGGAGGCTGTCACTGTTTTTCCTCGGGGGCGGTGCTGGTCCTGCTCTGCCTGGACATCCTTTATGGGTCTGGGCACTTGAGTAGGACCAGTCCTCAGGTCTCGGAGAGCTGGGGGAGCTATTTGTGCCACCTACACGTGGGCAAGGAGTTCTTGCCCTCTTGGGTGAGGGATGCTGGCTTGCTGGTGGAAGCAGTCTTAAGGGCATGCTGTCCCTCAGCTCCTCCCTTCTCTCTCTAGATGGCTGTCATTGGGCAGCAGAGCAGCAGCGGCAGCAGCCTGACGGAGCTGCAGGTGGTCAACTTGGACACCTCGCACAACGCCAAGAGTGACTGAGAGGCCTCTGCTGCTGGCCTTGTGCCGTCCCTGGCTTGTCGTGCTGGGGCTGGCAGCAACTCTCGTACAGACTGCACCAGTTATTTATTGTTGCCTTTTCACGTTTCCTTCATCCACACATGCACACACACACGCACCCACCCACACACACAGCATGCAAGGGGCTGCAGGACCCGCCTGGGGAGAAGCTGCGCTGAGGCCGTGCAGGGCTGGGGGCCGTTGGGATGCTCGTCTCTCGCCAGCCAAAGAAGCTTGTCTCTTGAGGGGAGGGTGTGCTCCGTGCTGTACATAAATCCTGGGGGCCTTCCCCAGCTGGAGGCCCTTAGGGGTGCTCACCCTGTCTGTGGGTGTTTGTGTGGGGCTGGGGCCTGGAGCTGTCCTGCGGAGCTGCACAGGCCTCAGCAATGTGCCTTTGTGGGGGGGATGGGTCCCGGCTGCGGCAGCTCTCCCTGGCCTCTGCAGGGAGCAAGCGGCCTACTTGGACGTGCATCTCTGGTTGGGTCTGGTGTATGGCCCCAGCCTCCTCACGTGCACTACAGCAAGGCCTCCGCCCTCAGTGCCTCCTTGCTGGGCTGCCTGGTGGGTTGGCAGCTGCAGCACACAGCGGGTGCCCAGCAGTTCAGCAAGGCCCTAGGGGAGGGGGGGGGCTTTGCTGCCAGCTCAGTCCCGTGCTCCCATCTTGGCCCTCATGCTGCTTGTGGACTCCATATGCCCAAGGGGGGACGTGACTGGATCTTTTCCGCATCCCTCTGCTGCAGCTCCAGCCACCGCTTTCTAAATTTTTTGATGCAAGGTGGAGAAGCAACTCCAGTGCCAAAGGGAAGAGTCCGTGGGGCACTGAGCTGCTGGTGGGCAGCATGCTCCTCCTGGGAGCACCGGGGCTGGAGGAGCCTCAGCAGGGCCACGGGAGAAGGACTGGAGTGTGCTTGGTCCTGCATGGGAGCTGCTCCCTGGCCCTGCAGGGAGAGCGAGCAAGGAGCTGCTGCATCCTTAGGGAGAGGAGCAGCTACTGTAACTTCTTTTTTTAAGTTAAAGACAAAAGAAGCCTTGGGGGGGAAAAAAAAGAAAAAAAAAAAAAAAAAAAAAAAAAAAAAAAGAAAATGACTTTATTTTTCTAAGTGTTAAACTCAGTATTTATGTAATACTTTAAGGAATAAAAGTTTGGCTCCTGTACAGTTTTCATGGGGTTTGTACCTGGGGGATGGGAGAGGGGTGGGTGGGTGTGGAGGCAGGAAGGGGCCTTGCTTTTGAGTTTGTATTGTAACCTTGGACATGTTCCCTCCGCATTAGCGTTTAACTGTGCTGTGCTGGGCTGTCCCCAGCCCTCCCTGGGGGATGAGGGGCTGGCAGCAGCCGATCTCCGCTCTCCCTGCCCGTAGTGCAGGTGGCACCTCCTGAACTCCCATCTGAGGGTCTGGGCTGGAGTTTCCCTCTCCACAGCCTCAGCTTGTGCTGTTTTTTAGTGCACAGATGTGGATGAGTTCCTTCCATGACCTGTGCAGAGAGCTTGGGGTGTGCGTTAACCTTGACCCAAGGCCGTCATCAGGGCCGTGCTTTGCTCTGCTTTGCTCGTGCTGGCCCTGCGGGGCTGTGATGGCAGTGCTGCTGCTGGGCATCTCCTCCCTGCCTCCCCAAAGGCAACTGCTGGTTAAACGCTAATGGTGTCTTTTATTTAAGTGCAGACTTGTAAGAACACTCGTGTATCAGGGACGAAATGGCATTTATTGTGTGGTGACATTTTTAATTCATTTTACTGGTTTGAGGGTTGTGTGTGTGCGTGCGTGCATGTGTGCGGGTGTGTGTGTGTGCATAGGTGTGTGTGGGATTTTTTTTTTCCCCTCCAGTTTCCAGGGTTGTGTTTCTGGAAGGATGTGGAAGTAATCACAGTACTATGTACAGAGCTTTCTTTTGTATGGAAAAAAAAAAAATTACTCTTTCAATAAATGTTATCATTTTGTGCACAGAGCTGGCGTCTTGTCTGTGCTTTGCAGGTGGAGAAACTTTAGGGAAAAAAAAACAGCGTCAATGGATAGGGATGAGATGGGGCAGAAATCAAAGGAAGAAGGGCATGTGGTGACCATCAGTGGTGCAGGGACAGCAGTGTCCTCGCTCTTAGTGCAACAGCTGTGTTTCCATGGCAGAGCATTAGCAGCACCTCATGCGTGTGCCAATAAGCACAGTGATGTTGCAGGTGCAGCACGTGCATGGAATGTCAGCTGCTGAGAACAGAAATAGGGGTGGTTGTGCATGTGCTGCCAGTCTTCATGGTGTTTTGTGGCAGTTAGGAACAATGTTTTCCCTTGATCAGTGCAAATATTCTGTACTTATCTCTACAGGAGATGAAGGGACTCATAAAGGCAAATTGCCTCTTCAGTTTCATGAGTACCAGGGGTAGGAATGAGATTGGGCACATCCACATAGTTGCTTCAGGATCAAATAAGAAAGCAAATTCTCAGCAGTTTAGCCTTTAATTAATGTCAGGTAGGGCAGGGAGGTGATTGTTCTCCTCTGCTCTGCCCTCATGAAGCCCCACTTGGAGCACCGTGTCCAGGCCTGAACTCCCTGGCACAAGAAGGATGTGGAGCTGTTGGAGTGGGTCCAGAGCATGGCCCAAAGATGCTCAGACGGCTGAAGCACCTCTCCTATGTAGAAAGGCTGAGGAAGGTGGGTTTGTTCAGCCTGGAGAAGACAAGGCTGTGGGGAGACCTTCATTGCAGCCTTCCAGTACATGAGATCTTGTAAGTAGGAGGGAGAGCACCTTCTCATATGGTCTGATAGTGATAGGACAACGGAAAATGGCTTTAAAGAGGGGAGATTGAGGTTAGGTGTTAGGAGGTAATTGTTTACTCAGAGGCAGTGAGATGATGGAACAAATTTCTTGGAGAGCTGTGGGTGCCCCATCCCTGGAGGTGCCCAATGCCAGGTTGGATGGGCCCTGGGCAGCTTGAGCTGGTGAGTGAGAGAAGTGCCCAAAGGTTGTCTTCAAGAAGGAGAACTGGGAGAATTACAGGCCAAGAAGATTGATATTGACCACAAGGCGATGGAGCAACTTGCCCTGGAAACTATGTGGTGGACAAGAAGGTGACTGGGAGCTGTCAGCATGGATTCAAAAAGAGGAAGTAATGACCAACTTGAAACACTTCTGTGGTAAAGTGATTAGCTTGGTAGGTGAGGACAGAGCAGTATATTGACCACCTGGACTTCAGTAAGGCTTTTGACCCTATCTTCCACAAGATCCTTTTAGAGAAGCTGTTGATATATGGGCTGGATAGGCGGACAGCGAAGCGAACTGAAAGCCCAGAGGGCAGTGATCAGTGGCAAAAATCTAATTGGAGGCCAGCAACGGTGAACACAGGGGATGAGACCGGTTCTGGTCAGTACCTTCTGGTCAGTACTAACGGTGTGGGTGATGGGGCAGCGTGCCAACACTGGCAGGAGTGGCGTTGCGCTGCCGAACGGGGGAACTCGAGTAGTCTGTAGAAATGAAGTTCAACAAGTGCAAACTCCTGCTTCTGGGGAGGAGCAACGTGCCGGCACACACTGCGGTCTGGCTGAGAAAGACCGGGGGGTCCCGGTGGGATCCAAGCTGACCGGGAGCCAGCACCATGCTCCGGCTGCGAGGAAGGCTAACGCTCCGCCGGCCTTTCCAGGCATAGCATTGGCAGCAGGCGGAGAAAGGGGAGCCCGCCCCTCCCTCGCCAGGCCTCTGCTGCACGGACTCTACGCCGCCACCCCCAGCGCCGCTCCCGCACAGGCCCGCCAGGCGCAGGCTCGGGCGCGGCTGCAGGCAGCGCCGTCCCCACCCCGCCCGGCGGCAGCGCGCAGGCGCCTCGCGTGGCCGGACGCGGAAACGGGCGCGGCGGCGGCTGTGTGCCGGCCCCGTGCTGTCGGCCGGACGCGGGGCCGAGCCCGGAGCTGGAGCGGCGGGCGGGGGCGAGCGGGGAGGCCCGGAGGCGGAGCTAGGCCGCGGGGTGAGCGGAGCGGCCTGGAGGCGTCGCGGCTGCTCCGTGGAGGGCAGGGGCGAGCGAGGGAAGCGTGTGCGGCGCGGTGCCGTGAACCTGCGGGCAGGGAGTGCCTGCGTGCGCCGTGCGGGAGAAGAGCCGTTCGGCTCGTGGGGAGGCTGCCGTGCTGCACGCGGGAGGGCAACTCGGCCCTTTGTTACCGGGAGACCGCAAGGACAGCAGCTGGGCGCCGCTGGATTGCTGAGACCTGCCGGGAAAGCACAACTGAAGGTATAGGCGTGTATATATTTAATGTATTTATTTTCAAGGATGACGTGTGTGACCATCAGCTGTACAGGGTGCTGCTTCACCGCTCTCATGCCTGGACATGTCAGTGATCCAAGAGAGCCCATCTCTGCACTCCCAGCACAAGCTGCCTGGGCTCTGTGAGAACCCTCTGTTCTTATCAGGCTGATCCAGCTTTCTCTGCGGTGATGAAGTCGGTCCTTTGCTTGGCTAACTGATTGCTGGCACTCGGTCTTAAATAGAAAATTGCTTCATGCTCTTCTTTGCCTGGATGATAGTGAGGTGTTGTGACTTACGTAGCTCAGAGATGTGTAGAACAATCAGGCAGCATGGCTGGTTTATCTGCCTAGCAACTGAATGTTTTAAAGGCAAATTTATACCCGAGAAGAGGAAATAGTGACCGGGGAGGAGTAGCTTTTAGATAGTGATGAGCATGAGCTGAGAAACAGCTGGTTATTTTCCTCAAGGACTGGTGACTCCTGTTGGTTCCAGTGCCACAGTGGGAGGCAGCGTCTGCCTGAAGCCTTGAGTCTGCATGACCTTGCAATCTGCGCTCAGACTCAGACACAGAATAACAAGTGCAAAAGCAGAAGTGCAGAAGCAGCGACTTCTGCAGGGTCGGGTTGTGGTCAGGGGTGAAAACAGGGCCCAGCTCTCCAGTTTTTATTTTCAGCCATGGAGTCGTAAAATGGCTTGGGTTGGAAGGGATCTTAAAGATCATCTTGTTCCAACGACCTGTCACGGGCAGGGCTGCCACCCCCTAGATCAGACATTAGATCGTGTTCTGTCTTACGAGAGGGCCTGAACAAGAATGTTTTCCCTTGGGGATTTTGTGAGGAGAGCTGCTTTCTGCGTGTACCAGTAATTCTGGGGACAGGGCTAGTACAAGAAACAGGCTCATCGTCTTGAAGTGAGATCGTGAACTTCTGCAAGATGGGGTTTCCTTCAGAGCTTTATTCTTGTTTCAGAATCTCAAAATTTAAAACTTGCACCTTGGCGGCTTCGACTGGTGAGGAACCGAGGTGCCGGCTCACGGCTTCCCTACACGTAGCTCAGAGATGCTAACCTGCTCCCTTCTGTTCCCGCAGCGCTGTCCGGCAGCATGGTGAACGAGAGGCCCGAGGGCGGGCTGCTGGTGCAGCTGGGCCCCCAGCTGCAGGCCTACCCGCAGGAGCTGCTGCGGCAGCGGCGCGGCCCCGACGGCGCCCCGGAGTACCTGGTGCGGTGGCGCGTGGTCGGCGCGGAGGAGCGGGCGGCGGGCGGCGGCGGCGGCGGCTCCACCTCCACCGCAGGGCTCCGCTCGGAGAGCGTGGCCATGTGGCTGTCGGCGGAGGAGGTCCGCGCCGGCTGCCCGGCGCTGCTGGGCGAGGGGCAGCGGGCGGGGCCGCGGGCGGAGGAGGAGAGGGCGCCCGGCCCGCCGCCCGCGGCGCCGGACGAGGCGTCGCTGCTGGAGATGAAGGCCGACGTCGGGAGCCTGGTGCGGCGAGCCGGCCGGCAGCTGGCCGGCGGCGGGGCCCCCGCGTCCTCCGTCCTCCACACCGTCCGCGTGCTGAGCGCGTACGCCGGCATCGGCGCGCTGGCGGGCGCCTTCGAGGAGACGGGAGCCCTCGAGCTGCTGACGGAGATGCTGTGCCACGAGGAGAAGGCGATCTGCCGCGGCGCCGGCGAGATGCTGAGGGCTCTGGCTTCGCACGACGCAGGTGGGGCTGCCGCCGAGGGCGCCGCTCCTTCGGTAGGGCGGGGGCTCGGGGAGCGGGGCCTTGCGGGGTCGTTGGCTCTGCCATCGTCGGCGTGGAGCCTCTCCTGGGGCCGCACTGAGCGGAGGCTGATCCTGCCTGAGGCTCTCATCAGAGAGGAGCTGCTGTGGTTTGGAGGTGCCTGATGTGTTGGGTGCAGCCGATGGGGTTGCTGTGGGCCAGCAGAAGTGGTGGAGTGTCCATCTGGCATGTGGT